ACATTCAGCCTCACACCTCACCTCACACACAACCATCAGTCTCCCCCACGCACATACAACACTCGGATACAACTCTAACAGAAAAATGCACAGGGCTCGAGGAAAAGGCCCCTTAATCCGGATCTGGTTTTTGGATTTTGCTTTCATTTAGATCCTGGAGAGCATAAGCAGAATGGTGTTTATACATAAAAAAAAAGAGCGATAAATTAAAGAGGCCTATTTGTTAGTGAATGGGATATCCTTTGGACTCAAGCCCCATGTGTTTCTGGAACCTAGCAACGCCCCTGTGTTAAATGCACACTACATTTACCCCTTCAGTAGAACCTTTAATCACAGTCTCACAGCTTTTGCATCTCAATTTCACTGCTTCCTTTTCAGCCAAGAAACCTTACTCATCATGATATCATTTTGCAATAGTTAGATAGCAGATGTAAAACTGTGCGATAAACATTATTCATACCCCCTGCCAGTCTCCTCAACCCACACAGGCTTGCAAACAGCTTAAGCTGCAGCATTTTCTAACACCTGTCCTACATGTAACTCTCAGTAGGAATGTCTTGGCAGGGAGGAGAAGAGAATATTCAAACAAAACCCTTCTCAGCTTCTGTGTCTGGATTTATAAGAACCTCTTAAATGTGAGCTCTGTATTGTCCATACTAATCATGAAGAAGCATGGATTGATGACAACAAATATAAATGAGCGTGAGCTATTCCAAGCAAGGAAAATAACAGGCGTTATCAACAGGTCACATACAATATATCATATTATTAAATGGTAAATGGCATTCCTTTTCAATTTTTTGGGTCCAAAACTTTTTAATTTATATTATAATATGTTTTATTTTAGTCTGTGTAATTGATGTGTGCCTGTTTTTTTTACTGATTGATTCATGTATACCTTACACCAAAATCTCTATTAAAGTAATACTATAATAAATAAATATAAAAAATGCTATTAATGAATTATACATTTTGGCACAATATAGCCATAAAAGTAGTCAATAGGCATGAACAGGAAACTGTCACTTGCAAAAAATCCAATAGTTTGTTTTCCAAAGCATCTTCTCAGTTTTTCAGAATAGATTAGGAGAAGGCGCTTCTGTTGTGAGCAGAACTAAAGAAGGTAAGTGAAGAAGAACCCTCAAAAACATAAGTTCTAGAGTTTTGTTTTACATGTGGGAAGAACACTGTGTTGGTTTCCGTGGTTAGTTGCATTTTTTCAATTCAGACGTTCCACGAGTTAATTCCAGTTTTGAGTATCAAATGGGTACTTTTGTTACCTGTTTTTGTACATTACATCAAATACCTATTGGAATAATAATTTACATTAAAACAAGACTCAAATAGTGCTTTCTTTTTTTTTGGATCAATTTCAGATTTTCATTAAATTTCTATTTGAATTAAATTGTATGTTATGTAAGCATAAGAACAGATTTTACAAACTTACCTGACACTTTTGTCCTGAAAAAGACAAAACTAACAAAAAACAAATAGGAAGTGCTCACTTACTTCCAAGAGCCTAATTTTATTAAAATATATAAACATTACAGTCTTGAAATTCATCTATGGAAAAAAAAATATTTTTTCTGGTCATGTACATTCTGGTAGTTATACTCAGTCAGCGTTGGATTAATGGCTCTCATGTTCCTTGAGATTAATATGTTTATGGGCCTATTATCATGTATGATTGAATATAGAATGACTGGTACAATTCACCTGGTTCTGCAATTTGCACTTCTTTTAAATCTAATTCAAACCAAAACCATCCTTATAATTAAAAGCAAATTAAGAAGAATCAGCATGGAGTCATCAGATCGGCTGACAAAAACATTTCATGGGTAAAAACAGCAGGCAAATATAATCAATATAGTATACACAAGCAGTGTACATTACTGATACCCTTTAAAACCACATTTCACCTAGTCACAACCATCCTTAATATATATACACACCCAACAGTTCTCTACACAGACACACTACCACTTCCATTTATATACATTGGCAAACTACCAACAATACTCAAAATATAAAACAACAACAAAAATGTTAACTGTGTACTATACAAAATCCCAATTTAAATAACTGGAGGTTTTTTTTTAGTATCACTCCAATGGCCATTAAAGTGTAAGCTCACCTGCTAAGTTAAAGCAAAACCTCTCCTAGTCACTTTCATTGAGATAAAAGGCAAAATTTCTAATGAGACAGTGAGAGGCATTTTTCTAAACTTCTACACAATTATTAACCCATAATAGGGTACACATGGAGTGGATAGCAGCTCTGTGAATTAGCTGTGTAATGAAAAAGCAAATGCAAACATACAAAATTAAACCCTGTGCTAAAACTCCCATCACTCCCAGGCAGCAGCAATGACTATAGTACACATAAGCAGCAATACATAGAATAAAAAACAAATAAAAGTTACCTGCACACTATTTCAAATCCCTATGCACATTTAACTAACTGGAGTTTTTTTAGTATCACTCCAATGGGCATTAAGTTGAGTTAAGGTGAGTCCTACACTAGAAATTCACTTTGTGTGGAGCTTAATGGCAAACATTTTGCAGATTATCTTGATTCAGCTATATCACATGAAGCAACACCCTATTTGATAAAGTGGAAAAAACACACCATATGTGGATAAAACCTTACAAGATAATTTACCTATAAAGCAATCTTCAAAACTGTAGAGTATATAACAGGACTCCCCCCAGTCTTCACAATCTATACAAACAAACAAAAAAAACTACAGTAAAATGTAAACAAAAATTGATAGAGTCGTACAGTATAACACGCTTTGTAGTGGTAATTTTAAGGTTGCACTCACAAACATGTATTGATTGTAGGCATATCAAATGTTTTAGAGATGATAAAAAATCCTCAACACGAGAATAGGCATGTATTAGAAAGCATAAAACAGAACAAACAAGTGCAGACTGTAAAAAGACATATTTGGCGCTTTAATAGATAACACTTGAAAGTGATATTCAAGCATATCAAAATCCCAAGCAGGTATCTTCCATCAATTGCGGTCCACATGTTAATCTCCATATGGATTAAGGATAACACCTTTTCGGTAATTAAACCATTTATTAGTATAAATAAAAATAAAATAAACAGACTAACAAAACAAACTCATTACAATGGCCCAACCCTACGCGTTACGTCCGGTGGCAGTCCGGACTTCCTCAGGAATATACATAATCCAATCTCCATTGAAAGGAATCAGTCTAATTTCTCAGTGTCACCGAGATCAGTTTTAAATCAGACGGATCCACTTCTGCGGCAGCCTTCAGCCTATCCGCGGAGAGTGGCCACAACTGTGCTTCATCCTTTCGGAAAGGCGCCTCAAGCCTCGTTTTCGTAAGCCGTTTCTTCCTGCATGCATACGGACGTTGCGCATATGCGTTACATTTCCTTGGAGACCGGAAAGCACTTGCGTTACATTCATAGGACTGCGTGTCATCAAGTTCATAGTATCTTGTCATACAAAGTCCCGATGGTACTCGGTCATTACATGTAAAAAAAAACATATAAATAGAAAAGGTATATCATAATTACCCTAAATGGTAGTGAATCAGGGGTAACCACATACGAGAAGGATTTGGGAATTGTTATAGACAACAAATTAGGCAGCAATATGCAGTGTCAATCTGCAGTTGCTAAGGTCAGTAAGGTTTTGTCATGTATAAATAGGGGCATATTTTCTCAGGATTAAAAATATAATTTTGCCTCTTTATAAAACGCTGGTAAGACCACACCTTGAATATGCTGTGCAATTTTGGGCACCTGTTCTAAAGAAGGATATCATGGCACTAGAAAAAGTGCAAAGACGAGCTACAAAATTGATCAAAGGAATGGGGCATTTTAGCTATGAAGAAAGGTTAAAACATTTAAATCTCTTTAGTTTGGGAAAATGGTGCCTCAGAGGGGATATAACATTATACAAATATATTCAGGGCCAGTACAAACCATTATCTGGAAATCTATTAATAAACAGAGCTATACATAGGACACAAGGTCACACATTTAGACTGGAAGAAAGGAGAAATAATGTAAGGCAAAGAAATTTTTTTTTTTACAGTAAGAACTATAAGGATATGGAATTCTCTGCCTGAAGAGTCCATATTATGTAACTATGTAATAATGTACTATGTAATAATTTTACAATTATCTTGTGTAATAATATATAAAAATACAAAAACATAAGGTTCAACACACTTTGAACAAGTGCATATATATATATATATATATTTATTTATAAAATATTTTATCATGAAAGATACATTGAGATTTCTCTCGTTTTCAATTATGTCCTGGGTCCACAAATCATTGCATTGTTACATTAGGGTACAATAAAATACAAAAACAATATTAATACACAATAAATACAAAATTTAACATAGAACAGGTAGGAAATATATAATCAACCATGACAGGTGCATTCTGTTTTGAGGTATGTAGAGAGGGATCTCTTAAAGGACTTTAGGCTTAGGGAAGATTTTAAATTGTGCGGGAGGTCGTTCCACAATTGCTTTGCTCTGTAGGAGGAGGAGGATCGGGCTGCTTTCTTTTTGTATTGAGGTAGACTAAGTAAAGTGTTGGTACTGGATCGGAGGTTATAGGAAGTGGGAACAGCTGGGGAAAGTATTTTGTTCAGGTAGAGTGGGAGTTTCCCAGAAAAACTCTTAAACACAAGACTGGAAAGATGAAGGGTGCATCTGGATTCCAGCGACAGCCAGTTTAGTTCTTTTAGCATGTCACAATGGTTAGTCCTATAATTACATTGTAGCACAAATCGGCAGAATGCGTTATACAATGTGTTGAGTTTATTAATGTGGGATTGCGATGCAGATGCATATACTACATCCCCATAATCAATGATTGGCATCAGCATTTGCTGTACAATCTTTTCTTTTACTGTAGGGCTTAGGCAGGATTTGTTTCTGTGCAGGGCACCTAGTTTTGGATAAAGTTTAGATGCAAGCTTTTCTATGTGCAAGCCAAAAGATAGATTGGGGTCTAACATCATACCCAAGTATTTGAAAGAGTGGACTGCGGTCAGTGTGCCATTTGAATTTGTTTTGATTGATAGGTGGGAATTGTGTAATTTGTGTAATTTAGGTACTGTTCCAAAGATCATTGTGACAGTTTTGTCAGTGTTCAGGAAGAGTTTGTTTTTTGCGATCCACTTTTCTACCTCTGTAAATTGGTCTTGGAGCACAGCCTCAAGCTGAGGTAGATTGGATTTGCTCGCATAGATTACTGTGTCATATGCGTACATGTGTACATTTGAGGATTTGCAGACATTAGGCAGATCATATATAAATAATGTAAATAGTAGGGGGCCGAGAATGAAACCTTGGGGAACACCACACATGACTGGGAGTGGGAGGGAGTCACTGTCAGAAATGGACACATATTGTGAGCGATTAGATACATACGATCGAAACCAGGTTAGCGAATGATCACCAATAGCTGAGTTTTTGAGTTTGTGCAGTAGAATGTCGTGGTCTACTGTGTCAAAAGCCTTAGCAAAATCAAGGAAAATAGCTCCAGCTAGGTCTCCTTGTTCCATGCCAGTTTGGATGTCATTGCAAATTTTTAAGAGGGCAGTTGTAGTGGAGTGATTCTGGCAAAAGCCCGATTGATCAGGGGTCAGATAGTTTGATTGTTGGTAGTACTCACATAGTAGCATATGGACACATTTTTCTAAGATCTTTTACAATACTGGGAGCAATGATATTTGGCGATAGTTAGAAACCAAAGTAGTGTCACCACTTTTATGGATAAGCACTACTCTCGCAGTCTTCCAAAGTTTGGGTATGTATTCAGACACCAAGGATTTGTTAATTAGAGTTGCGACGGGTTTAGCAATTGCCGACGCACTGAGCTTCAACAGCATTGCTGGGATTTGATCAGGTCCAGACTGGTTTTAAATTTTTAGATTATTAAGTTGTTTTTTAATGACACTAACAGGTACAGGTCTAAAAATGAACTTGTCTATATTGGGCCTTTGCAAATTTAGTGGGACCTGATCCACATTTGTAGTTTCAGGATGCGTGTCATTTTAGCTTGGCAATCAGGGCAGTAGAGCATCCGACAAAATAATTGTTAAAGGCATTTGCTACATCTAAGGGAAGTTGCAGGGTTTGGTTATCCACTTTAACAGTGGAGGGTTGGGAGAGGATTGGGGGAGTTTGTAGTTTATTTATGACTTTCCAAAAGTTTCTAGGGTTTGAGATGTTATTGTTCAGATTTTCATAGAAATATTGGGCCATGTCCAATTTTGTCTGTTTTGTGCATATATTTCGCCATTGTCTATATGCACAGTGATCATTCATAGAGCCAGTACGCTTAAACTTTGACCACAAAGAATCCTGAAACTGGTACATTTAGATGAGGTCAGCTGTGATCCAGTTCATATGTGCTCCTTTTACCCTCACGTTACGCAGCGGGGCATGCAAATTTCAAATTTGTAGGAGTTCAGACTGAAAGAATTCAACAGCACAGTCTAGATCTGGAATAATGTGGGATAATGTGGGATAATGGGATATATATATGTCCCTAAAGAGGTTAATGTCACCCTACATAACAAGATCTTGCAAAATCCCCTGAAAGCTACAGGGGGGTTCTCTAATAAACTCAAACATTTTAAAAATATACTAAAAAAAAGTTTAAAAAAAAATTCCTATAAAAATTTAAAATTTAGTGATAAAAAAACACACGAGGTTGAAATCTACATTCAAGCCTCTTGGTTGCATAGTCTTTAATTTGGGAATCCAAAAATCTTCCCTTTTCCTTAATTTTAACATCAACTCTCCTTCTCTCTCATCTAATTGCACTTGTTCTATAGCAATAAGATTAAGATTGTCTGAAAAGGATGGACATGAATTACAGTGTAAGGGGACCAAATGTGTATATTGTTATAATGTTCTAAACATCTTATTTTGGCTTTTCTTCCTGTCCTCCCCACATATTTTGCACCACAATCGCAAGTGATCAGGTACACAACATGTGTGGAGCAACATGAAATCTGTCCATTAATTTTTTTTCTTCAATAAAAAATAACTTGGGGCTACAGAAAGGAAAAGGGGAGGTACATGACATAAAAACACTGTTTATTTGATGAGACATTGTATTGCTTCCAGATGCGACCCTGGGTTTCCGTAAGCAGGAACACTCAAGAGTGGGCATTATAATCACAGTGATCAGGACATTCCGTATATCATAAAATATTATAAAATAGTGAAAGCCCTTCCAGATAAATTCTGCACCATAGGTGGTTTACAAGGTATGAATGGTGGGCACACTAGATGTTTAGGAAGGCATGGCATAGGTGTGTCTGTGTCTCCCCAGCCTCCTGTGGAGGAGCAACGCCTATTGGTTATGAAGAGGGATTGTATTGTGGTAAAAGCCATTCCAGGTAGTGTCGTGTGTAAGTGACGTTGGTTCGTCTGTTCTCTAGTCAACTGTCTCTATGCTGGGAACTTTCCCAGCATCAGGAGAACAGACGGTGCGACTGGCAGTTATCGTCAAAGAGAGTAATATCTGTGAGAATGTAGACTTATATAGTCAGTGAGCTGGGGTTTGGTCCTATCTGGGGTGTGGTTCTCTCTGTCTTTTTGAGTGCTACTTCCTCTATGTATAGGCTATCCCTTTTCTTGTCTTCTTACGGGGGATGTCTCTTATTTTTGTGAGACATCTTTGGTGTGTTGGTGGTTATATAGGGAAAGCCAAGGTTTCCAAAGTTCTTCTGTCTTCCTAGCCTTCAGATATGACTCAGAGGAGAGTTCTTCGTATCTGTAGTATTGGTGTATTTTTTCCATCAATTCCATGTTGGAAGGGCAGTATGTGCTTTTCCAGTGTGATGCCAGGAGGTTCCTGGTTGCCAATATGATCAGAGTAGCAACCTTTTAGGTTTCCATCGTCCAGATGTCAGGGAACAGTAGTAGTAGTCCCACCACAGGTTTAATAAGGTGGATACTTGTTGTCAATTTATTCAGTATTGCTTGTGCGTGTGTCAATAGAGGTCTGATATCTCTGCATTCCCACCATATGTGAGTCAGGGTGCCTTCCGATGTCCCACATCTCCAGCATTGTGGGTTGACATTAGGGTATATCTTATGTAGTCTATGCGGGGTGAGATACCACCTGTATACCACCTTTTTGTGTGCTTCTATATGGGAGCCACAGGCAGTGATACCTCAGAGCGCTGAGAGGGATTGGAGCCATTGCTCATCTGAGAGCCTGGGCATATTCTCCTTTTCCCATTGCATTACGTACTTAAATGTGCGGGGTGGAGCTTGATCTGATAGTGTTTTGTAGCACAGGGACAAGGCTTTAGGTTTGGTAGGGGCAGAGTGGCATCTCTCAATCAGTGTCTTTAGTGGGTTACTGGGTGTGGTCTTAAGGTTTGGTGTTGTAGACACTTTAGTAAGGATCATGCTCTTTAGTTGCAAATATGTAAAGATGAGCGAGTTAGGTAGTTGGAACTGCTGCTGTAAGTCAAGGAAGGGTATTATTCCCGAACTATAGCACAGGTCTTGAATTCGAGTGACTCCTCTGGACATCCAGGTTTTCAGCGATAGCCATGGTGAGATCTCTTCTAGTGCTCCTAATGGAGCATGTACGCAGAACTTCTTCTCATCAGTTATGGACATTCTCCAGGTGTCCCAAATTCACAATGTCAGAGTAGTGGTGGGGTACAGCATGGACATTTGTGGTCTGAAGGCTTTGAGAGACCATAATATGTTTGTTAAAGGTCTGGGATGGGTTGAGTCATGTTCCAAGTCCACCCATTGGAAGGTGTATCTGGGTGCGTGCAGCTGGATGACCGATTCTAGAATGGCCGCTTTGTAATACGTGATCAATTCCGGGAGTCCTAGGCCTCCATCTGCTGGTGCTAGGTGCATGAGGGAAAGAGGGAGGCGCAGTTTCGCCTTACCCCATAAGAATTTATTAAATGTGGCCTGGGTAATTTTGAACACCTGTAGTGGTACCTGTAGGGGCAGCATTCTAGAGATGTATAAAAGTTTTGATAGTATCATCATTTTGATTGAGTGTAATCTTCTAGCCATGATAGGCAAACATCTTTCCATTTCTGGAAGCTAGAGTTCCAGGTATGTACTAACATGTCATAGTTGAGGGATATCATAATTTGTTTGTGAAGAGCTAATTTCACTCCCAGATAAGTGATGTATTTTTGTCTCCAGTCGAACTGGTGTGTGAGGCATAGTTCTTGTATGTGTTGTGCCGATATGTGTATCGGAAGCACTTGTGTTTTAGACTTGTTTAGTCTATAATAGGATACTTGGCCATAAGTTTCTAAGAGTGTCAAATTGTGGGAGAGAAGTCTTAGGTTCGCTCAGGGAGATTAGAATGTTGTCCGCGTCTGGCTTAACGATTGTTCCTGTTGTTAATTTGGATTCCTGAAATAAGTGGGTCTTGTCTAATTTTGTGGGTCAGTGGCTCCAGCGATCTGTCCATTAATTTTAAAAACTTCAAGGGTCTGTGTACTCTTAAATTCTTTACAGATCTTATACAAATGTCCACATGCTTTACAATTCCCTCAACTATGAAAGCCAACATTGCGTTTATCCCTACAGTCTTTATTTCGGAAAGTGCTCGGAGCTAGAATGTTTTTAAAATTATTTCCCTTTTTAAAAATGGTTTTCGAGTTTTGTGGTATTTTCAGTTTCAAAAAATCATCTTCTAAAAGAAGTGTCCAGTGCTTTTTGATAAGGTTTTAGAGTTATACTGGGTGTTAAAGGCAGTTCGAATTTTCTTTGATATGTTTTTTATTTTGGAGTAATTCTTCCCTTTCTTTGTATACTAGTTTATTAATTTCTTCATTTAAAAAATGTTTGATAATAGCCTTTTTCTAAAAACCTCTCTTTTAAAATCTCTATTTGTCTAAAATACATATCTCTATCAGTACAATTCCTCCGAACAAGTGCAATTAGATGAGAGAGGAGGAGATTTGATGTTAAAATTAAGGAAGGTTGTTGGATTCACTAATTAAAGAGTAAGCAACCAATAGGACTGAATGTAGATTTCAACCTGGTGTGTTTTGTATAACTAAATTACAACATTTTATTCGAATTCTTTTATAAAAAATAGTTTTTCAGTACATTTTTACGATTTTTGAGTTTACTAGAGACTCCCCCTGTAGCATTTATGCAATTTTGTAAGATCTTGTTATGTAGGGTGACATAATGAGTCCTTCTGACCCTATATTTATCCATTTGCCTCTTTAGTGATATATATATATATATATATATATATTTATGCACTTGTTTAACTCCTTAAGGACACATGACATGTCACACATGTCATGATTCCCTTTTATTCCAGAAGCTTGGTCCTTAAGGGTTAAAGTGTGTTGAACCTTATGTTTTTGTATTTTTATACAAAATTGTAAGATTATGATATGTTTTCTATTTATATATTTTTATTCACATGTAATAATCGAGTACCATCAGGACTTTGTATGAGGTGATTCTATGAATTTGATGACACGCTGCGCTATGAATGGAACACAAGGGCTATTTCCAAGGAAATGGAATGCATATGCGCAAGGTCCGTACACATACAGGAAGAAACAGCGTACGAAAAAGAGGCTGGAGTGCATTTCCGAAAGGATGAAGCACAGCTGTGGCCACTCTCCGCAGATAGCCTGAAGGCTGCCGTAGGAGTGGCTTCGCCTGATTTAAAACTGATCACGGCGACACTGAGAAATTAGACTGATTCCTTACATGGGAGATTGGATTATTTTTACCCCGAGGAAGTCCTGAGTGCCACCGGACAAAACACGTAGGGTTGGGCCATTATAGTGAGTTTGTTTTGTTAGTCTGTTTATTTATTTTATTTTCATATCAATAAATGTTTTAATTACCGAAGAGTACATACAGAGATAAACCTGTGGACCACAATTGATGGAAGATACATGCTTGGGATTTTGATATGCTTGAATATCACTTCAATTTTGTAAGTGTTATCTATTAAAGCACCAAATACGGGTTATTTTGTCTGTTTTATGCTTTCCCCTACATGCACACTCGTGTTGAGGATTCTTTATCATCTCTAAAACCTTTGCTATGCCTACAATCAATACATGGTTGTGAGTGCAACCTTAAAAATACCACTAGAAAGTGTGTTTTACTGTACTACTCTGTGAGTTTTTGTTTTCCTTTTACTGTAGATTATTTTTTGTTTTATTCAGCTATGTCTGCCCCATGTTAATATGGCCCTATTGTCATTCATCTCTTTTAACAGAATACAGATGAGTGGGCCTGTTTGTTATTGCATGACTTGATGCACAGTTAGTTTCCTTATTGAAAATCTTTCAAAAAATATTTAGCAGAATATTATGCTCTAGATTTCTCATTACTTGTTCTTGAAAGTCAGAAACAACAGGATGGAGTGAACATGCAACTTTTCTTGCATTTTCGATTTAAAGTAAATATATATTTTATTATAATATTCTATTAGGTGTTTGTTGTGGTCCTTTAACATGTATACACATTTCTGACAATGGATAATTATTAGGGTGGAAAGCTGACTTAGAAGACTAATAGATTCTACACACTCCACTAAGTCTTGTTTTTACAAGAGGTAATGAAGCACCGGCAAACAGCAGTTATTTAATTAGTGGTTGATTAATAATTAGCTTTTGGCTGGTTCACATTTGTGTGTTGATTACATGACCACCTACTATATACGCCAAGAGCACATTTTATCAGACATCTGAAAATAAGTAATATTTTTTTTGTATGGTCAGTAATCAGAGGTAGGCATTACTAGCTTCAACAATGGGCCTTGTGAGTCGAGGCCTATGCAAACTCAACACAAACAAGCATAAGTTCCACAAATTGTTAAACAGGAATGTAATTGCGAGAATATTTTCAGAGATCCAAATCTTAGTCATTTTAGAATTTAAAATAGATGAAAAAGTATAATTTATAAGTAGACATATGTGAAATGATACATTATTCTACAATTACAGAGTTCGAATACAGGAAGTATGTTTTTTTTTTTTTGCTTGTGATAATCAGGTCAGACCACACAGAGACCATTGAAACTGTAATTGTTAAATGCAATTAATTTAATCTATGCACAATTCATAGACTAACTGTTGTAAGGTAAGTGCTTTGATTAAAAGTACTGACTATCTTTCGAATCCCTCATGATTTCTTTGTTCAAATAAAGCATTAGAGCAATCTACCTTCCATAAGTAGGAGCAATTTTAACAGTAGGTTCCTAATATTTCTACTGAAACTCATGATTTGGTTATCCCGTGGGTAAGAGCTTATTAAATTATAAGGCTCCCACTTTTAATTGTGTTATTTAAATTATCCCCATTATTTTATTCTTTAAACCTCCCCACCCGTTCCAACCTGTTCTCTCTGATTTAATTGCTTCTTTAACAGCATAATTAGCTTTCTCTTATCTTCAGTGCATGGTCCTTAATATGTTTTGACTGGAAACTGTTCCACTGCCTGTTGCCCACATCCCCAATGAACCAGCTAATTAATGGCAAAACATTTCTCCTCAGGACCTTGCCTCTGTCCCTGCTAATTAATCAGATTATAAGGGAGGGGGCGATGGTACTTTGCATTGGCAGATAAACTTGTGACAGTGACTAATTGAGGGAGGTGAATATAAAAAAGAGGGAAGGCATGTTTGAGATATTATTATTATTGTTTATTAATAAATTGAGATTAGACTGTACAGCATAGGACATTAACAAGTCTTAGACAGTGATCGATTGCAAAACAGAGGAAATACATAACAGCTAATCAACACATGCAGAAACACGTAGAAATAAGTTAATTGCTGTCCAAGAGTAAGGAGGCATTTCAAAGAAGATGAGAACAGCAATGAGTTGTCGAGCAAAATAAGTTGAAAAAAAACATGCTTAGTAAAATAACTAAAGGAACTAGGAAAAAGGGATAATATAAATAAGTTATTTATTTAGAGCCAGAAAATTCCGTAGCTCTGTACAATGCGTGAACAATTACTACTGGTGAATAATATTTACACAGAAATAAAATACTCTATATCTATATTTCTGATACAGAATATTTAGTGGATTTTTAAAAAGGATGAACTTGAATTCAGTGTTAGATCCTTATTTTATGTTTTAATGGAAATAAAGTGTTAAGGCATGAGTATCGATATGTAAAACTCCCCACAAGCCCTGATGTAGGAGTATAATGTTTCTTTAACTCAAAACTGTGTATTTTAACAAATAACTTTTTTTGCCCTGATTCCATTGTTTGATCACATCTAAAACAAACTCCAGACTGAAATACATACTCTTTTTCTTAATCATGCTCAGGTAGTCAAAACCAATGAAATGTTAGATGCAACTTGCTAGCTCAAGGGTTTTTGACAAGGCAATATCAGGCTTAATGGGACATTCCACTGCCCAAATAAAAACAAAATGGTATTTAGTAGATATGGCCCAATCAAAACATGCATGCATTTCATTATGCATTTTTTTCATTTGGGTATACCAAAAAACTGCAGAAGTCTTTGCAAGGCAGTTGTTCTGAGCAATTGCTTTTAATATTGAGCTTATCTCAATTTCTATTGAAATATGCATTTTTTTTATAAAATGAAAAAAAGAGGAGACATACTTCACAAAAAAAAAAAAAAA